TCTTTCAGCTTCATCACATCGAGTTCAGGTATACCATATTTAATTAACCATGTTTATTGTTTAAGAAAATTGTATACCCAAGCGCTGATTTTTTTTATTTCCAAAAATTGAATGTCGGCTTCCCCAGAATTTTTGTCATCAAAGAATAAGTTATATACACCATTAACCATTACCATTTTCATATCTATGAGACATTGTCTTAGTTGAGATATTAGAAGAATTCCCTTCCATACTGCAGTGCCTCGATTCATTTTTTAAGAGCATTTGAGCTTATAACGTATTAAAATTATTGTATAATTATTTTAAAATAAAAATGAAATATATAATGGAAGAATAGAAAAATAATTAAAATATGTAACAAGAAATAATAGAAGTAAGCTTGATGGCATATTTTTATTTTTATTTATTTCGTTTATTTTTGGGTGGGTGAGGGAGTGAAGTTGTATATTATTGCCAATCTTCGTAAAGGACATTAAGTCGCTTTATCTGAAATTCCCCTCTTCCGTAGGAAATGAGGCACGAATGCCCATCATCGTTCGCTCCTAATCCCGAAGGACTGGAAAAGCGTGAGACATTGAGTCCGCACTTCATTTGGCCTAGTATATGAGGAACCGCAAAAACCGCTACCGGGAGAGGCAGCCTTAGGCACGAGACCGAGGGCCACCCTGGAGACCGGCCCAGCACCCTCTGGTAAGGCAGGCCTCCCCGTCTATAAACCCCTCCACCAAGAAGGAAGGCATTTTTCTTTTTTGTAAAGTGACATGCCACAGTGGACTTAAGAGGCCTAAGAGTGCTAAATCCGTATTTTGTCCGCATTGGTAGGAGGGGTGTAGAAGCCGCAACTGAGTTATATACTGTCATTTCAAATGCTATGAAAGTTAATATTCGCTTATTATTTTGTAATAAGGTTATTACTATAATTATTACTGTAAATGCTATTAATATTAGTATAATAATTATTAAAGCAAAAATATTTGGTATTTTAAATAACATTGTTATTATTAGCATAAAAGGTTTACTTGAGAATACTTTTGAGCCTTTATATTTTAAATAGTGGGTAGGATCATAAGTTACAGTTTTGAACAAAAATTGGTTGGATTGCGCTCCGAATTCCGTGAGCATCTGTTTACTGATTTAATAACGCAGTCTTTTAAAACTCAGTAAAGTAGTGGTGTAAGTTGCGGATGCTAACGATCCATGGTGCTCCGGTTAGCGTATGAAGAAAGTTGTTCTGTAGGATTTATAGTCGATTAGTAATGATGACGTCCGAATAGACCGCGCAAATGACGTGTAAGTAAATATCGGTCTAACCAGAGATTAGTAAGGCATCAGTTTGTTTTGAGGCTAGGTTTACCTTTATTACATAAAAGGGGTAAGGAGTGTTTCCAAGCCTTCGCTTTATTAATAAAGTAGGTGGTATGGGCAGGCCAATATAGTTCAAAGTCAATTATTACGCCGAGGTATCTAACGTGATCGCTCCAGGGGATCTCTGTTTGTAACATAAAAAGATTAACGAGGCTTTTTCCCTCTTCTTCTCGTTCTTAAAAAAAGGGCCTTACTTTTTAGTAACTTCAGTTGTAAATTGTCATGAGTGAAACCACTTTTCAAGTATTTTAAGGAAGAGAGCTGATAGTGCCTTATTGCTAAGGGTGGGGAGGGCTGATTTTGAACTTTAGTATAAAGCGGTGTCAGCCGCATATTAAGCCGTAAAGACATTAGTAAACGTGGGGACATCATAAAAGTAGTTGGTAAAAGAGATGGTGAAGGAAGAGACTATTGAGGACTCCAATAGAAAAAGTTTTTATACAGAAAGGATTTAATCATAAGTGTGAGGTTTTTGGGAAAGCTACATTTAATGATCTTAAAAATAAAGCCGTTGGGAAGCCTTATCCTTCTCGATATCGTGAATGCAGCCTCTGTTGGCTTTCTTTCAATAAAAGCTTTTAAGGCGTGTTCCGAAAATCTCAAAATTTGTTGAGTTGTTGCATAGTTATGCCTAAACCCAAATTGACGGTCTGACAAATATATGACTATCTACAGCAAAGATTCTGTAGTCTATTCAGTGTTACTGCTTCCAGAGGTTTACCTAGAATGAGTGACTAATTGGGCGGTAGCCTTAAGTGATTTTACCAGGTTTTGCTTTTTTTGTAGAAGAACAGATATGTTTTTCCAAAGCTCCGGGATACGAGTTGAGTAAATTGAATGAATTAGGTTAATATAAGCGGAGCCCTGCTGGTTAAGTGTTTAAGCAACTTACTAGAGATACCACCAGGGTCTGTTGCATTTCTAGTTTGAAGTGATTGGTTTAGAGCTCTAGTTTCTAGAGAAGGGTAAGAGCTTTGTGGAATTTATACTAAAAAAAAAGTATTGGAGAGTAATCAAATTTTTGTTTATAATATAATTAGTTTAAAAAAATTCCTTTTTTTTTTTGGAATGTTTCTTGTTATATAGGCGAGGTAAAGAACTTAACTTTTTTACCCAAATGTTTAAAAAAAGAACAGAGCAGAACCTAATACCATAGGATTCATCCTCCGCTGCTACAGCCTCCTCTAGGCTTCAAATAAACTTGTGAAATAGCTCTTGCTTATGCAGTAGAGAAGATTAGTCTTGCAAAAGTGAGGCCCTTCCATTAAAGCTTAAAACTTAATGTTTTACCGAAATTGTTTTGGGAGATTTCTTTTCTATTTCATGAAGTACCTCTTTTCCCCTGTAAGATACCTTTTTAGACGTAAGGCACAGTTTTGCTCTAAACATTTAAACCTGGTTTTTCATTTAGAAGTGAGTTATAATAAAAACTATTGTATTCATCACTTTACTCCTTCAGAAAAAAACTTCCAAAAGCATTTATAATATCGTTTTAATAGTATAGAGTTGTAGTTTATGAATGTTTATAGACGGGTTCCTGTAAGCTTCCAATTACTTCTCTCTTGCCTTAAACAAAAATGTTTTCTTTTCCTCTAGTTGATCTTTTAATGCCCCTCTGAGTTGAAATATAACTGAGGGCTTGTTTATGTAAAAATGTTTACAAAATAGAGGTATTATCTTGCAAAAAAATCAGTTTTTGTTAAGCTTTTGTGTTTTGTTGTAGACTGAATATTGTTGGGATTATCACAGACTTTATCGTCTATGATATGGGCAAACGCGAGAAGATTACTGGAATTAAAACCATATGCAAGTAATGGTCGAAAGCGCCAGTAAAAAAAGCCCAAGCATTGATGTCAAGAAAAGCCTGAAATAAGCATGAGCGAAGGTACAGGGCGCCGGTTAAGCGTCTTATTAATATGACACTGAGAAACAATTTAGTGTTTAATACTCCTGATAACGCGAAGGACTACCGGAGAGAAATAGAAGTGCACTTAGTGATGTATTTCGCGTTCACTATGTTTAACAGTAGGGGGAGGGCAGTGAAACAGCGTTGCCCTCGGCTAATGGATACGTCATTCGAACATCAGAGCAAGAATATCGCAATAGTTGGTTTGCAGAATACTTATGTTAAGTAAATGACTGCTTAGTAGCCACGGGATTTTAAGATTGCTTACACGCACTGTATAACTCGTGGAGAGGTATAAAACTATGGTGCTTCTAAAATGTGTAAAACAAGTCCAAAGATAATCTATCTGGCTTTTTACGGACTTTTGAGTAATAAAAAAGTAACCGCAACCCTCAAAGAGCTCTTTTTGCTGTCAAAGAAATATGTAATCTTGTGGAGTCGTGAATAGGAAGATCATAGAACATAGTTATGTTATTAGGTTAGAACTTTACCAGGAATACGTAAACAATGAATAGGTGCCAGCGACGTATGATGGAAAGGTATCTTATTTCAAAGATATGAGGACTGTATGGAGAGTATAGCGCTCAAAAGTACAAATTTATAGAAGCTCGAAGGTAGTATAATCTAACAAATAAAGATGCCTTATTTTAGCTTGGCTCATCAACAAGGTAGTGAACTATAAACAAGTCAAAAAAAAATTATAGTCCAAACTGATCTTAAAAGCAATTTTAGGTTTTTAAAAGTGGTGCTGAAACTGTGAAAGGAAAAAGAATTGATAACACTGAGAAGGAAATGACCAATGTTTATTAAATAATTATATGTGTACTGCAAATTTTTTTAAAAACCCATAGAACGAGAGTCAGGTTGTAAAATAGGTGAATTTTAACGTGAACAATGAAAGTAAATAAAGTCTTAACTTGTTAATAGGATAGACAAAATTTAGTATTATGAAGAAAGAAAATTTTATAAATGGGCAGCCTTAATAAAAACATATGTACATAAAAATAAAAATGTAACAAAGACAGATTTAGATGCAAGGACGGACCCAGGACGGTCAAAAATTGAATGCCTAGGCCACATGTCGAAGGTATTTTTAAGTGTTACAATAGTTACACCTTAAGACTTAGAAGACAAAGACGCTAATGAGTTTGAAATAGGTCAACGTTTTAGTAAGGAATATCCCTTGAGAAAATTCTAAAACCTCTAGGGCATTTAGCTTTTATATTATGTAAATGACTAGAAGCAGGAGGAGTGGAGGGTAATTTGTTTGGGCCTTCACCTTCCTAAAGGTTATATTGGAAGGGGTGAAAAACTGAGTGTTTAAATGGCAATCTCATAAAAAGAATAACATTTAATAAGGTATTAGTTTGTCGAAGTGTAATTATTTTCGTTTTCTGGACGATAAAGTTGTCAAAGATTACTTTATAACCACACATCGCCGTCAGTTAGAAGAGTGCTAAAAGGGGTGAGTTAAAATTAAAGTCTTTATCAAAAGCATGCACTGTTAAAATGCAGAGTGGCTTACAATAACTATAAGACTACTAAATATTTATTATGACAAATTACTAACGTCCTAGGCGTGAGCCCATTGTTTGCGATTTCAATATATAATATTAGTAAAGAATACCGTAATAATTTCCAAAAATCTAAAAAACTAAGTTGAAAAAAAGTATGAAGTAGCATCTAATATAAAAAGTGGTCTAAGAGAAGGTTTACCATGAGGGGATTGGAGGAATTTGCTAGCTGTTCCGCCTTGAATCTGTCACTCGTATCATTAGATTGCAGACTTTCTATTCTTTAGTATAATTCTTTTTTTGTATGCGCTAATTTAAAAAGGAATGCTTAGGCACTTAAAAAAAAAATTGAGGGGGAAATATAATAAGTTGCCGTTGCCGTTGTTCTGTCTTCAGAGTTATGACATCCATTTGAGAACAAAACAGCAGAGTGTTAAGGAGGGTAATTCAGCTTTTAACGTTAAGCTAGATGACAATAATAAGACTCTTTGTCCAGGAAAAAAGTTAAAAGGTTTTTTATTTTTTTACTTTTTTCTAATTCAATTGCATTTTTCAGCTATAAGGGACCTAACGGGATTCCTTTAAGACCATTTTCTCCTGAATATTTGCTATTGTTAAAGCACGTTCCTGATCCTTATAGACTTCTTTTTTATTTACCTAAAGATTTAATATTACCATTAAAATTATTATGCGTACACGAGTTTGACAGCTCTTACAGTTTGCAGCCTTCGGAGTCCATGACTCTTTCGGAGCTAGATACAGTCATTCTTAATTTCTTAACAGGTTTTATAAAATTAGTTTTTGTTACTTTTGAGTTAATCTACTCTACTAGATTTTCTTAAATAATAATTTATTGTATATTAAAACTGTTCTTCTTCACCTTAACTTAGCATTCAATAAATTAACCACTTGCACTATTATTTATATAAGGCCTCTATAAACGTGTAGGTTTTTTTTTTACATAGGGGAAAAATAACTTTAAATTAATTTTTTTTTTTTGGGCTCACAGAACTTCTAATATATTGTAAGGTTAGTCTCAAAGCAGTTACTAAAAATTGTGCTCAGTAGAGACTCTATATCTATTATAAAATGGTTTAAATTGTACCGGGAATTACTTAAAATATTGGTAGAGCTTTGTTTGTGTATTGTATTTTAAGTTAAAGGTTTTAAAAATTTTATTACTTGACTGTTATTTGTTTTTGTCTTTAAATTTTACTCTTTTAATTCTTAATTTAGATCAAAAATTTTTAACTGTTAAAATGTTCAATAAAAATTTTGAAGCTTTTTCCGGCGATCTACGCTTTCTTGAAGAGGCACGCACTCTAAATGATGTGGTAGAGGCCGAGCACGAAAACTATTGATTTACTTTAATAAATTTAAGTTGTCTATCTGTTTTAATATAACCATATGTTGCCCCATTTAAGTGGCGGATTATAGTGGTTTTTACTGGACATAGTTAGGGTGGACCCAGAGATAAGTGGGGCGCTCTCCTTCCGGGTCTGTTGCGCCATCCGCCGAGCCCGCCGCCACGTCTTCAGCGCGGTAGCCTTCAGTCTCGATAATGATATTTTCCTTCACGTGGGATGCTGTTAGTGAGACGCCCTTTACCCTCAACGCCCTGCTGGGACATTACCTTGTGAATCAGCCTATGAAGGATCATATCGGCTATCCGGAGCGCGTGGTCGACGTCGCTCCTCTCCAGTCCCTCGTTGACCATCTCGTTCATGTACCACGAGAGCAGCTCGCTTTTGGGCACGCCGTGGAACTCTTGACTGTGAATATAACAACAGCTTTGGAGTTAAGTGCTGATAGAGAAAGACAATGACTTACTTTAGTTCATCTGCCATAGCCAATCCGCGGTCTTGCTTTTGACGCAGTCCATGCATGAGGGTGGCTAAAACGGACTTGTACTTCTCGTATGATATGGTGAAGCTTTCCGGCTGGTTGCCGCCTCCATTCTCTTCTGCAGGACACAAGCTAGTATTAAAAGTTTCGAACGTGGCTAGAGTTATTTAACCTTCCCCGCTAAGTAGGTCGGTAGGTCTGTTTCTTCGCTGGCCTTTGTGGTACAAGTCTGTATATTCCTGTGGTTGTACCACAATGAACGGCAGTAAGGAGGGGAAGGAAGACCACTGCAGACCGAAGAGTTCTGGAGGCGCAGATCAACACTTCCTCTTTCAACTGTGAGAACTGATTCGTCTATTAACCGATAAGCGTTTTCCACGTACGCTGGTCTGATCTAAGGACGGAGTCAAGTACACGGCGCTTCATTTAAAAATTACAACGATTGGATGATACATTTTCGTCCAAGTGAAGTCGAGCGAGAGCTTCAGAGAGACGTATTAAACTTTCTAATTGCCTTACGGTTATTGGGAAACTTTTTTCACCAGGAAAGCCGCCTATTATGAGAAGACTTTAAAGACTAGCTGGCGTACTTACTAATAAAGCACGTACTATTGCATTTTTCTCTAAGTTTGACAAATATTTCTGGGAGAAGCGCTTTTGCCTCACTAGTAAGCTATAATATCGAGTTGGATTAAGCAAGAGTCTAAAAAAGTGCACAGCAGCACTTACCACCGGATCAATAGTTCGTGCATACTTGATGTAGTTTTGCATTTCACGCATTGTATATGGAAATTGTATGGCGTCGGGCTTCAACTGGTGATAGGCAACAATGTGATTAGCAATATTAGAGTCCGCCACATCGCTGCACTGGTCCGTCACCACGAAAAACAGATCAAACCTCGACATGATGGCGCTACTCAATAGAACGTTGCCCTTTTTACATAAACCAGTAGTGGGAAGGCACCACAAGTTACTAGACAAATAATTGCCCGCAGGGTCTTGGAATGGTCGTAGCGTCCTCCAATAGGGTTACAGGCAGCTAGAATAGAAGTAGCAGCATTAAGCGTGGCCTGCACAGTAATTACTTTCGGGTGGGACTGAGGGAGCTTGAAGGCAGCGGTTACCTTGATGCCGGCTTTTGCTATTGATATAGTTTGCTGCTCCATGGCCTCGTGGATGGCCACCTGGTCTTTAATGTCCATCTTATCAAACTCGTCTATGCAGCAGATACCCTAAAAAAAATAATGATTAACCCGCTTGATCTCTTTCTACAGATGACTGGTAAACCCACGTTGTCGGCCAGCATTAACGCGCCCGCCTCGATACAAAACTCATTGGTGTCATCGTCCCTTTTGACGGACGCTGTCAGCCCGGCGGCAGAGGAGGCCTTCCCGGAAGTGTACACCGCCCGCGGCAGAAAGTCCGCCACATACTTAAGAAACTGCGACTTGGCTGTACTGGGATCGCCGACGATACAGATATTTATGTCCCCGCGAATTTTGGTGTGCTCGAGGGTTTGCTTATGAACGCCGCCAAGCAGCATCAAGAGGATGCCTCGCTTGATAATCTCATGGCCATAGATAGTGGGACAAACGCTAAGGGTCATGTGATGGTAGATGCGTTCGTCGTAGGACATCTCCACGATTCTCTCGCGCTCTTCTGGCGAGAACTGCCGCACTGTCATATCCCTCGTCTCTTTCGAGCGAATATCTCGACGTCCATCCTCGCATCCCTGGTTTTGGGTCGTGCAGGCAAGGAAGCACAACTTGTACGTTAAGTCTCGCAATCCTAAAATTTTCAAGCCTGTGATGCCCTCGATCCCCAACCCATCCTTTGTCAGGCCCGCTCCTTGGCCTCTGCTCATCTGCCGGACGTCAGGGACAACAATGAGCGTGCCTGTCAAGGTGACTTTATCCCCTGCCTTTGCTTGGTCCACGCCTTCGGGAACAGAAAATACAACAGGAAAGACAAAAAAGAAATAAATGACCTTCATGGCGAAAAATAACTTCCGTACTGCGCGGCATACTCCCCGAGGGAATTTCACTGGAAAGCTCCTGGATCCTTACACGCTGCCAATCTACAAACCTCGACTTTTCTACAGAGAGCTGAAAATCTGTTCTAAATTTGTATAGGAAAATTTCAGTAAAAATAATAAAATAAGTTATAGTAATAATAATAATAAACCTATTAGAGCAGATCGGATTCGGGCAAATAACGGGTCTGGTGTACCGGAACTGTTGAGTTACGGATGGAATGTTTGCGTTGCAGACCTGGCAAGTAAAGTGACCCGAAAGAAGCTCTAATTGAAATCTTTCAAACAAATAAATAAAAAAATTAGGCAGTGTATAGCCACCTGGCCTGATTTCCGAGGTCCGTATAACTGTTCCTCTGATAGCCACAAGCTTTCCGATAATATTGGTGTTTAACTCGCGCAATCTTTATAAACATGTATGAGAGTTCGAGGAAAGACTTCAAAAAAAATAAAACACCAACTTTAAAACTTCTTGATCTAAATCATAAAAGCTGACCCAATAATGCCTTTCTTCCGTAACTATAATTTCTTCGCCGCGCTGGTTACCAAATTCTGTAGCGGCTGCGTGGATAAAAGGAAGCAGCCTAACGTGCAAACTCTAATTACTTCTTCAAATTAATAATTGCGCAAAAAACCACATTGAGAACTTAAATATTCGCTGTAAAATAGAACCTAAAATATTCGCTTTGGATGAGGTCGTAAAGGGAACGATTATAAGCTCGAAGCTTCCCAAGCTCTACAATAAAAGTTGTTCTGTCGCTCTTTTTTAACAGAGTAAGTTGTTCACGATAAATATACACAGGAGAATTATTTTGATTAGGGAAGTTCATCTCTTCAGAATTAGTAGCGCTTGTGTGATAAATAATTTAAATAGTTAGTAGTGTTTAGTAGTTAAGGAAGGATTAAAAGATAGTTCGGGGTTAAAAGTACTTTTGTAGAAAATCTAAAAATTCTTCTTGTGCCTTCACCCCAAGGGGATCAGTAACAATATTTAAAGTATTAGGGGGATTATTAATTTCTGTTTGCATTCTCTATGAAAATAACTATAAATTACAAAGTTAAAAACGTCATAATTATATTAATATTGCTACAAAATCGTTACTTAAAATTTATAATTATACAGCAGCCGAGTCTGTACGGCCTTTAAACTTGTATTACAAGTTTACTGTCGAGAGATGTAAAGGTTTGGCGGAATATTGATAGTGAAAAACTAAAGTTACACAAGAATTGAAATAGTACACCAGAATTCCACGGTGTTAACAGTCGTCCTACAACTATAAAAGAGTCCAGAGTTTAAAAAGGTTTGGTTTTGATACCATCAACGAAGTAAACACACCACCAGAGCTTTAAGGACGTTTACGCTCGTGAAGGAATTTCCATGCACACTTAGAGTGGAGTGGTAAAGGCCTGTCTAATAAGAACAGCCTCCCTCCCTCCCCGCCCCTAATTTTTTGCATCGGTATGTTGTTTTTATTAACCGTGTAATCCATATTTTTTTAACAGGACCTTAAAACACGAAGGCCCACCATTGTATTCTTTTGAAGGAAGTAAAGCAGCTCTCCCGATTAACTTCTTATATATGGAGGACATCGGGGCGTTATGGTGGCCTCATCGTCTATAATTCCCCTTCATAAGGGTAGCGTTTTACAGCCCCTTTTTTTGTTTAAATGCTTAGAAGGTGCGCTTTAAACGCACAATAACAATTTTGTTATACCCTTATAACATAAGTAAAAAGTTAATTATAAGATGGCCTGCCGAAATTGAATACGGTCTAAGCCTTAATTATAACTTTTTTGCGATATCAAGCAGTCTGCGCTCTGAGATTTCCCGAGCTTCTTCACAAACCAATAATAATAATGAAAAATTAAATAAAGTGAGTTTGCCAAGCATTTAAAACCGTTCTCCTACTTCTTCACTGCCATTTAAAAACGGTGTTGTAATGGTTCAAGCGATGAGTTAGATTTTTGCCCTTTATAAATATCTTAGTGCTCAGTATATGCAGTCGATGTTTTCGCTGTAATAGTGTCTGCACTACATCTGTATAAGAAACCCAACTGGATGACATTATTTACGAGGTGCTAAAAAGTTGTTGCACGCTGCGATATCGCAAAGTAGAGAACTTAAAAAAAATCAAATTAAAAAAGCGAGCGTCTCCTGATGATTTAGCTTAGAAATATAATTAATGTGGCCACATGTAAGCTAATGCTTTTCATAACACGAAGACTACTATCTCTATTACCCTAATTAGCCATGGAAAATGATAATAAAAATTTATTTATAAACTTCGTATAAAGATGTCTAACAAATCCCTTTTTTAATATAAGGAAACAATTATTTATGCCATGTTAGATTTTTGTCTCCACGCTAAAAGTGGACGCCCGCCTTAAGGGGGCAGGAAATCATTAAGGTGTCAAATCCTAACATTCCATTTTAGAAAAAGCTTAATATTGTTGCAGATATTTGCCCCTACAGTCCACCACCTTCATAATCGCTTGTGATACAGAACAAGTTATGCATGTTGTCGGGTCTTCTTATCCTCACAAGATGAAAAACAATCAGGGTTGTAACTATACTAATTGATTTAACAGCCACGCTAAAGGTTATTGATGCGTTAGTTTACTTTTTTTTGTGTGAGCAAAATTACAGATTATAAGTTTCCAGATTGCAATGCTGCAACAATTTAATAGATTTGTAAGAATTGTGGAGAAAATTAAAAGGCCTCTAAATATAATAAATAAACAAATATTGTTTTTTTAAATATACAAAAAGCCTTTGATAGAACATAATAGGAAGAAATTATTTAAAAATCTAAAATATGTTGTCAGCATATTTTATGGGTATATATATATTAAAAGGGTAGAGGAAGATTTTTTCGCTTCTTAATTCTTTTAAGGCTCTTTACTAACAATTTCTTACTAGACAGTATACGCTAATAATACCCTTAGGTATTGTACTAGGCGATACTTTTGACCTTGTTGCAAACCCTAGTAACCTAAAGCAATCAAATTAAATACCTAGGCGTCACTGATAGCCCTAGGATTTACAGGAAGCCTCATGCCGAGTATTTTGATTAAAAAAATTAAAAATGCGACTTATGCCTAAAATTTTCTTATATATTAAAAACCCAATCAATTCATAAAAATAAACTCCTTATATACAAAACCATAATTAGGCTGCTTATAACATGGTTTGTGGCATGGTCTTACTGCTGTGCTTTGCATATTAACATAAATCTTCGTAAAGTGCCGAACCACTTTTGCATTAAAAAGACGGCCTAAAAATTTTTATTGCTAACGAAGAACAATTTATTATCTTGTGTATTTAACTACATCCATGTACATATTTTATATTGTAAACAACCTATAATTTTCTAGGTATAATTGTAACAGTTTTACAATTCCTCTTCAGCCCGATTAAATATATGTAGTAAAGAAAAAGGAAAGAGAGAAGAAAATTGTAAGTTATACATGGCTTTATAAGTAAATTAACTTATTAAGGATGATACCTTCCTAACCTCCTTCGCGACGAGGGGATATGGAATATTCAGATAAAAAGACTGTAGTATGTCAAAACGAAAAATAAATATTTTAAGTTATTTAATTTACTAAAACGTATGTAAAATTTAATTTAGTTTACTCATGTCGCCGGTTGTATTGATACCACTTTAGCAAGTAATAGAATAAATCATTTGCGTCTAAATAAAACAACAATACAAAAGTTAAAAGCACTTCTATTTATTAAAATTTCAATGCTCAACTTAGCAGACATCAAAGTTCGAAGATAACTTTTAGTTAGCTAATTCCATCCCTTAAATTGCGCATTATTATGTGTGTAACAGTAGAGCATATACGATAAAGAAGTCATAAGTAAATAAAAACAGGTTTATATATCTGCAGTACGTTTACACCTTTGCAAGCATATCCTTTTAAACAATAGTTTTTTTATTAACTAAATTAAAATATTACTACTTTAAATGAAAAGAGCAAAAAGAAGGTAAATGACGCATAAGCAGTAATTTTTCGTACTAAGTATAGTGTATTCTTGCGTTTTCGCAAAATTTGGTTCACAACTAGAATTTTTCGTTTGATAGGAATCCTTATCTAAAAAAGGTACAGTTGCGCCCAAGCTTTAAGTACTTCCTTTTCAGTAAAATAATAATTGTTTTTGCTGTCATATATGTGAAGGCTACTAATATTGTTTAACTAAGGTCACCTTCTGGGTGAGGGGCTCAAGTCGGGAAGGGCCTGGCCAATATCTCCAGGTGACTTAAGTTCCTGTGCCTAAGACTGCCTCTCCCGGTGGTGGTTTTTAGCGGTTTTCCCACCACCCCAGGCAGAAGGGGCGGGAGTCCGGGCTCTTATAATCCCACTTTTCCAGTCCTTCTAGGCAGTCAGTATATTAAACCCTCTTTTACATAGGGCCTAGTTGTAGTATATCAGGTAATAAAAATCTATATATTCAAGATCATTGGGTCTTGCTATCATTTAATTGTAATGTATATATAACTCGTCGCCTGAAAAGTCCTGGGACTAACTAATTAAACAAAAGTTTTTTTTGGCAAGATTCCACATCTTGTAATTCAACATACTCTTCTTCCGGAATGATACAATCAGTTCAACGCTTTCCCAGCAGTTTTACATCTTATTTATAGAACGATTTGTCTTTGTCTTCAAAATAGGTCTCTGTTTAGATGATTTCATCGTTTGACCCAAATCTCTTTTCCTGGAGCAATATTTAAGGTTTACAAAGAGATAATAATCGCGGAAGGTGAGGGGAGGGGGGGGGGAGGAGACCTGGAAAGCACGGTGGGCGGCGTAAAACCTAACTTTAGTTCATGTAATTTTTGGAATCAAACCATCGACTTTTAACACGGTGCATTTCTCTTGCTAATAGAGCACTTTTTTTCGCCATTAAGGGCCGTTTTTTTGTTATTACCTCCTTCAATCGAACCAATAGTGTTATAATATTCGCTATCCATGACATTTCCTTCTCAAGGTAAGTCGATGACGGAGTAAAGGTGGAGGAGCGATCAGTTTATTGTTTATTCATTAATGACTTCTACCGGCCCTCGATCGAGTTAATAAATCCAAATACTCCAGCTCTCAGTCAGGAAAAATCGCATATATGTTCCTTGGCGTAGTAAAAGGGTATATATCCTTCAGAAAGAAATATAAAATGTAGGACAAGCATAAATCAGTATCCTAACAAACAAACACACGGTTTATGTACCACGTTATTTATTATAATTAACTATAACAGTCGATGACTATTATAACATGCGCATTCCGAAATGTGTAGGCTGCAACCTATCAGAATTTTTGTTAGTAAGGAACTCGTACACAAACCTCCAGACAAGAAAAACGTAAGTACCGATGGAATCGAACCGTGATCTCGAGATTGCGCAACAATGCTCTAATCACTGAGCTACGGTGATTACCACATCTACGGTCGGTAAATTACGTATACAACTTTTGTTACAACCTTAAAGGCAAAAATGTTACGTCTGTGACCGCTTTGCGTGGCCTCCACCCCTTGCTTTCCGCTCAGCTGACTTCCGATTGAACTCTGGAGCGTAATAATTTAGGTTTAGCATAATAAAATCCTTTTTGTATCGCATAAATAGCTCCAAACAGCTTTCCGAATCATCAACACTTTTTTAGTCTATTGTGAGCAAAAGCGGTAACCCTTTTGAACAGAGTTTTCTCATGCCCAAATGTTTGTGCAAAATATAGCTTACGCGTTCCATTAATATCTGCGATGTCAGCTAACCCAAACAACTACACTTTAAGATCAACGACAATTTTTTGGATTTTTTCGATGCATTCTAGAGTAACTGCCTTGATTGGACGTCCAGAGTTATCAGCATCGTTTGTGCCCGTACAGCCCACGTTTAAAGTCAGCGAACCTCCGACTACTCGTTTTTGATGGAGTAGTTTCCTCATAACACACCTTCAAGCCACTGCTGAGCTCGGGCGGTATTTTTTTCTATCAGAAAACAATGCTTAATCAACACAAAAAATCCGTTTTATTTCATTATTTTGCAAATAACAATGGTCACATCACTATAATTTCGCTGTTTCGATATTAAATAGACGAACGTTGGTAATATCTGAAATTGGTATGGATTCAGTTTAAAAGGAGGCATCTGTGGGTTAATCTCGGGGCTTTTTAGGCGAGGTGTTGAACATATTCTTCGAGCTTTTCCTTTAATAGCTTACAAAGGCTTTAATAAAATAAAGAGTGGAAGTACATACACCGGTTACGTTTTAGTTAAATTTTAAGTCGGCATAACAAAGAGACCTTCTCTTTCTTCACAACTTCGTACATGGAGGGAGCTGTAAGCACGAATTTTACGGGGCGATAACTGTTTATACATTTTTCGTAGGTCTTTGCATTTTTTTTGTTGGAAAGCATTTATCGATTTTCGTTTACTAACTTTTAGTAACTCCAGTTTTCTTAATAAGTTCGCTCAGCTTTTAGGCCCCCTTAAAATTAGAGTATTTAAGTAATCTCCTATAAAACTTTGTGCAGTTTCCGTCTATTACTAAAAAAGTAAGACTATATTTACTGCTTTTAGCTAACTTGCAATTACATTTATAGTCTAATTAATAAGATTTAGGGTAAAAAAGTATTCTTCGCCGGCTAAAAAAACAGTGGCAACCTTGGCAATATTTACCGTTTTTTTAGTTAATAGTCTTTTGTTACTGTCAAAAGTAAGCTACAAGAAATTTAATAAAGAGTTAGATCGGCAATAATAAACTTATTTATAAGTTAAACTAGAACTAATAATAATACATGTTATTTAATCTAGTGGAGGCCTTCAAGTCTACGAAAGTTTACTGTAAATTTTAATAGTGTGCAATAAAAAGGATTAATTTCTATGGCTGACTTTTCCTCTGAAGAGCTTTTTTTCTTAACGCTGCTCGACGAACTGAAGAGTGTAGCCTGAACAGGTACTTATGAAGCAGGCAGGATGGAACAAAGTTGGTCAAAGCAATTTGAAGTGAGTGAGAAAAGCAACCGGTGATTCTTTTTTCAAAGCCTTTTATGAATTTTTATTAAAAAAAATATTAAATTAACAATTCTTATTTAGTGGGCTTGGAAGTACAAAAAAACCTACCTATTAAGCGAACGGCTTGCTTAGCAAAAGTAGCTGGAGTTGGTACAAAGAAGGAAGGATGCCTCAACTTGCTAAGTTTCGTTGTTACATAGAGGGGTAAGACACACTGAATATGAATGCCACTCGTATCATACTCTTACCGTAAAATTAAAAAAGTTTTTTTTAAGAAATTTAGAAATAAGAAAAAGTAAAAAAAAATAAACCTTGAGCTAATCCTCGAGAGAAGAAATCCACAAAAGATTTTGTAGCCGAATAAACAGTCAGCAACCCGTTCGGAAAAAATCCTGAGCTTGAGGAAATATTAACAATAGCCCCTCTTTTGCGCTGGAGCATCCCTATTAAAAAATAAAAAATTTATAATACAAGTTTAATTTATTTATAAAAAACAGAAGAGGAATAATATGAAATCATAAAAAGACCAGGAAGCACAGCAGAAGTAAGGGAGGCCACTGAGTTAATGTTGACTTTTATTAATTCTTCAACTTTCCCTTCAGGTAACTCGTGAAAATATTCAGGATAATCATAGCCCACACCAGCATTATTAATTAAAATCCCAACATCCAGATCTAAAGTTTGAAAAAAGTAGTGAAATTTAAAAAGAGTAAGCGGTGTAGAAAATCCACACCTTTTATGGCTTCAGAAACTTCCTTTTTCATCTCTTCAAAGCTTTTTATTTTAAAATCAATGACTAATATTTTGGTGTCAACTTTAAACCTGGATCTGAAAAACTCAGAGCTGTACTTAAGCTTCGACGGAGAACGGCTTATAAGAACGAGATTAAAACCACGAAGAGCTAGTTCAGTTGCATAAGCTGCTCCAATTCCATCAGTTGAGCCTACAATGTAGGGTAGTGTTCCTAGTAATCCGAGGACAGAAATGATAAATATTCGTATTATTACCTGTTACCACGGCCCATTTTCCAAACTTCGTAAGATCTAAAGGATTTCTTAGAAAATAAACATATATTAACTTGGCGAGACCAAAAGTAAGAGCGATTAATACAGCTATCAAAAAGTTTAGCAAACTAATTTGAGGCATTCTTAAGAGGATTGCGTTTATTATATATATTCGTGAAAGGGTTTATATTCTATGAAGCTCGTTTTACTTTTACCTCCGCCGCTAAAAACTCAGGGGCTAAAGAACAAGTAAACCTTTTTTAATGGGAGGGGGAGGAAGCAACTATATTAGAAACTTGTACGTCTAATTTTCTGGCGCATTTCTTTTTTTACTTAGTTCATTTTTCTCTTCTATGAGTACTTGGGACATTGATACAGAGACTAGATTAGGTGATAAGGTAAACATTATACGTTTACTTGACTTAAAATTCGTTTGAAATTAACGTAGCAGGGAGATTTCAATAATGACTCAACTGGAATCGAAAAGAGCAGCAAAAATGTAACACTATTTGAACATTTCAGTGAGCCTTCATTACCTCGTGAAAATTTACTTCATAAGGAGCAACCTTTTTTCACTTTTCAAACCGAAAAGGAGGATAATAAAGAAAATAAAAACAAAGTAAGTTGCCACACACTACTTAATCCCGAAAGGCCCGTAAAATCCAAACTCGTTGCAACAAAAGAATCAAAAGAAAATAGTCACTTGCAATCATCGTCTTCAAATTGCCTTGTTTCTACAGAGAAACTGAATGAAAAAAAAAGTAGAAAAGAGCTGCTTTTAGAATATTTGGAAAATAAGAAGGCCAAACAAGAGAAATTAAAAAAAAACAAAACGCCACCGTTTTTAGTAAAAGCCCATATTTCTCCTCCCAAAGTAACAGTGTTTTTCCTTAGTTGTAACTTTTAACTATTTAATTATTAACATATTAAACTAACAAGTTAGTTTAATGTTATTCTTAAGTGAAAGCACCTCATTTTCAAAATAACTAAAGCTTTTATAAAAAAATTACAACCGTTAGAAATACTAAATAATAGTTAATTAAATTTAGTTTATAGGTCTAAAAGAAAAATTTGTGGATCCTCACATAAGAGAGAAAATGTTGAAAAAACAGCAAGAAGAATTGGTTGAAAAATACAACAAGGAACATGGCTCTGTAAGTAAAAACGGTGCTGAAAGTAATCTAACTATAAAGTTTATAAATTTGTTTAATTAATAAAAAGAAGATTCCTTTTTTTTTTTTCAAACTATCGTTTAACGATTTAATAGGAAATTTCCAAGCCTCTAAAAAATCTAGCAACTGCAGTTTAATTTCTGAGACTTCAAAGACTGTAATTTCCTTTAAAATTCTTTTTGTTATAATTTTTATATACTAACAAAAGATTTTATCTTGAGCAGGTTCAACCTAAAGTTAAAAAAACGCTCAAAAAAAGTAACTCTAAACTAGATGAAGGTAATGATAACTTGTAAGAAAACTGTAACCAAAAAGTTAAAAATAATATATATTTTTGTAAATAAAATTTTTTTATTTACTTATTAAGTATAGTTTAAAATTTAAATAAAATAAGTTTTTAATTGAAGGCATTCTGCCCGATATCAAAGAGAAAAATGAAACTGCTGCGAAAAGTGGTATTATGTTAATAATATATTTACAAAAAATTTTGTAGACTTTTATAATAAAAATGGGTGAATCAAATTTTAGCATAGTAATATGGCCATTGCGTGAAGTTTTTTATGTAAAATAATATTTTTAATAATCAAGATTTTATTTTTTTAATACTTATCTTCATTTTCCAAAGCGGAGGATTATGTTCTAAGTTGTAACATTTGCAGAGAAAAATTAGAAAAATTATTCAATCACTACTCTTCTTTTTTGGAATTACAACTTCCTTCTGAAGGCGAGTTGAAATTATATTAAAAGAATACTTTTATTAAAATGTTGAGATTATTTTTTATAAAAGTTACTGAATTGCTGCACAGTACCTTGCAGCAAACCACGTGTATTCTCAAAGAGCGTTTAAAAAATTTCAACGAGTTATGCAAACGTGGGACAAATTTGGAAGATCTCGGGGATTTATGGCGAATAATACGATTGCAGGTGAGCATCAACTTTCTTTCTTGAATAGAAAATTGAGCTGGAAAATTAGATCGACATTATTGAGGGGAATTACAATATGTTAAAAGATTTCAAAGAAAAGGAATACACCATCAACTCCCCAAATCAAAGAGGTCTTGTTATATAAATTTTACTTTAAAGTTACACTTTTTATTAAAAGTCCAAAAAAAATTACCAAAGTTGACTTAAATTACAAAAAAGTCACAGAAAATTTAAAGCCTATACAAAACGAAGAAGGCAAGTCTTAGATAGTTTTTTCATTAAATAACTAAAATAATCTTTTCGATCCAAAAACTCAAGCAGCCAGTGAAAAAACGCAACTTGAAAAAGAATTTACTATCAAACTCACTGTGAGCCGTCCCAGCGCCGCTTCTCTTAACACGCCCGAGCCGCGCCGAGTGCTCAACGCCGAAAACATCGAGCCTACAGTGACTGAGAAGCTCGGTTCGGTCACCAGACTGGCAGCGATTACCCCGTTAAAGCCCTCAAAGTTGGACCCCTCCTCCTTGCTTACCGGCTGCTTTAATAGGAGGGCCAATGAGCTTCCTGTCCTCATGTCCCCCGTCCGGCGCTCTGCCAGACTTGAGGTTTTTCTTATGTGAAGCATTATAGTATTTTTGTTTTCTAATGGTCCGATCTTGGGACGCGGCACAAAGGCGGAGAAGCTGAGAACGCCCGGAAGATTTAGCCACTCAGAACTTTGCGTTTCGGATATCGAAGAAATTCCGGATGACCTGAACTTTGGGTTCGTGGAAAATAAAGCTCTCAACTCGTGATTCGGCGTACCCCATGACTTTTTATTTATTTTATTGGTCTTCGGTGTAATCTTTAACGGCGTCCATAACGTCATCAAACCATGAACCTGTTGAAAACCAATGAAAAGAGGACTTAGACGTTGCCAATCAAATAAGAGTGAGCGCGCTACTTTCATCTGCAAAAGCCTCGTCTCCTCCATTGACGCTTTCATCAGGCTCTGCTTCTCTTTGATAGGTCCTATTATGCAATAAAAGTCATGCGCGGCCATGTGGCAGGGAGCCTACTACTTACTCTCCGCCATCTACGTCATCTAAGGAGGTACCAGGATCCCCCGTCTGCCGCCTGCCCATTGCAGCAGCCCCAAGCCCACCAGCAGCAGCGGCAGCAGCGGCTTCGGACCCACGCTGGCGACTCCAGCTCCAGCCACTAATAAGTTATGATAGGCGCTGAACCCACGTGGTCAATCGAGCTAAAAACAAAGGGTACCTCCACTTTCAGCAGCTGCACCGCCGTAATAAGGTAGCGGGAGAGGCAATAACCTTCCAAACAAGGAAAAAATAATAGTGAATGAAAGCACGCCACTGGTGCAAATAAAAAAGCACAAACCGGCTCGATCGAGTGAAGTAGTCAGTATCGATCGATATGGCAGCAGCCAATAGAATTGAGCGTTCGTCCAAAGTCGAAAACCGATTGGAGTTTCCCGGAATATTAAAATGGATGGCGTAATTGTTGGCGTCGGTAAAGATCTAGTACACAGAAAATTATGCTTATATAAACAATAGATGCGAATGTTTGAATAAATATATATATAAAAAGAAAACACAAATAATATACAAATAATGTTTTCGTAAGTGGCACTGTAAATATAAAATTTATATAGAAACAAAAAATCCTTTTAGCTTACTATATAAGTTATAGGAAAAGTGTTGGCATCTGCATATCTAAAAATAAAATCATATTCTTAAAAAGTATAACTCCCTCAGTTATTAGAATGATTATATTTTTCTTATAAACACTTAAATGTTAATAATGTAAAACTTATTCTCTTTATAGATATACAACACTTTTTGTAACTATTTATATAAGCATACAAAGCTTTAATAAATATTTTCATGTAAAATTAAAAAGTTTTAACTTATGAATATACAAACGAAGGTAAGTATGATAAATATTTCTTAAACTATAAATGTATTATAAGTCAAAAAATAAAAAAAAAATATGGTTAAAGAAATTCCACGAGACCTCCTGCGCAAAGTTGGAAAAGTTTTTATTCACGGCCGCAAGGGGGCAACCCTCCTCGTCAGTAGCCAGAAAGTCCCACGAGAGAAAGCCCGCATCAATTTTAGCGAATTGGCAAATGGCGTTCGATTTTCTTAATAAATAAAAAAAAATAATGAACATTGTGGAGTGGTTATATAACATTTTAATTTCCAAGATATCAAAACACAAAATAATATGAAATAGTAATAAAAATAGTATTCTTTTCCTATATAAAAAACCAATTTTAATATATTTTTACTAACTAAAAAAATTTGGTTAAAAAAAATTATTTATAAAATTTTTAAAATAATAATATACTCAAATCAATTAACACAAGACAGTAACAAAAAACATTCACGGCGATTCGAAATTCAAACAAACTAAAATGTTAATTAAAAAATCCACCATTATTATTTCTATTATTTATAAGAAAACCGACGGGCAAGTAGCTGTCGCGCTTTAATGGGATTCAAAATAATGAAATAATAAAAGGAACGTACTAAATATTTGCTGCATACGACAATAAATAAATAATAAAAGTATGATCAAATATATTGGCAGGAACGGCAATTATTCACGAACTGTTCTTCAAAAATAATTTTAACTATAAAAATGCTAAAGTGTAGAAAATAAATCTTATTAATAACATACTGAAAGTATTGCTGTTGTAATATATACAAAAGGTATGTTCTATATAATTTCTTGAGTATTCATAAATAACTTTATATAAACATTTATGGTGTTTGTAAGTATAACGAAAAGTATATGTTATTCTTATTCTTGATCTTTATTGAATATTACAAAAAAAATATCATTAAATATCTTTTACAAACCATAAATTCATAATATTTTTAAATATATAATAATAACAGAGCAATAAAATAACATTAAACAGAAAATAATAAGGAAAAATATATTTATACAGATAAATTATAAACTGCCAATAAAAAATATTCACAAAATTTATTTTGTAAACAAATTAAATTTTCTTTTTTCACAACTTTTTTAGTAAAAAAAAATAATAATTATTAATATAAGCAAAATCATTTATCATTTCTTTTATATTAAAATAAAAACAAAATAAAATTCTTAAAATAGTTTTCTTATGACTTTTTAAAGTTAAACGATATAATAATAAAATTTTCAATATCATGAAAAGATTTATATTTTTCTATTAAAACGAAAAAAAATTCAAGAAGATTATTATCTCTTATAATAATTTTTATTATAAAACGAAATAATAATAAAATTAATATATCGAAAAACCATTTACATTTCCTATATATGAAAACATTAAGGGGTTCAATAACCTTATTTGTCTTTTTTCTTATAATAACTTCCATAACTTTTAAAATTAAAACATAATAAATATTTACGGTTCTCTCGTATTAAAACGAAAAAAAATTTAGAAAAAGAGTTTTTATAAAAATTTTAAAAAAATATTCCCGAAAAACACCGAACAACTAGTGTAAATTTATTGCTTTTACGACAGCATTTATACATTTTATTTAAAGAATATTAAAAAAAAAATTAAAAAATTTTTATACGTAAAAAGTTAGCTTCAAATTTTTTTAAATATAAATTTTATAAATAAATGTAAATAATGACATGAATGCTTGATATAATATACAAAAAGAAAAAGCAAAACAAAATTAAAAAGTTAATAAAATTAATTATTTTTTAAATATAGAAAAAAGCGATGACTTAATAAAATTTATTATAAAAAATTATAGCAAAAAAAATTATAGAAAAGTAAAGTTTAAAAATAATGTTAAATAAATTTAAGCAAATTTAAAAGTAAATTCCTGGAAATTTAATTTTTAAATTTTTATTGCTGAACAAAAATGAGTTTTATTAATAAATAAAGTTTATAAAGTATTCATAAATTTTATTCAGGTATAAAGTTGTTTTATAAACTTTTCGCTAAATTTTTTTAACTAAAAAAAAAGGTATAATATAAAAGTATTATATTTTTATTACTAACAAGAGGCATAGATTATTAAAAATAAAGATATTGTAGACTTTCTAAGTAAAACGTTTTCATAACAATTAAATCAAATCCAGAATAATTCTTTTTAACTATTTATATATATAAAATCTTTCATAAACAAAAATAATCCTTACGAAATAATTCTTATTTATTTATTAATAATAATCTCCAGAAAAAAAATATGAAATTAAATTTCAGTTTACAAAATAAAGTTTTTAAAAAGAAATTAAACAAAGTATTTCACTAAATGATATTATTATAGACTTAATAAGTACTAAAACTAAAATCTAAAAGTTTTTATGGAGGTTTAGTTCTGCAGTGTTTTTCAAGTAAATCAGAATTATATAAACTATAAAATTATTATAAAAAACAGCAAAAAAAATTAGATAAAATTATAGAAAAAATAATAAATTCGAAAAGTTTTATGTAATTCCAATTAGAATATAATATTTAAGTTATAATACATTAAAGTTGTATAAATTAATTAGAAATTTATAATTAAATATTTATTAATCAGCTTAAAATAAATATTAAATAAAATTTTATAATTAAAAAATTAAATTTCTACTAAATTTATTGAACAATAAAAAAAAGTATATAAGTTAATAATAAGAAAATTAAAATTTTTAAAAAAGAATAAAATATATTTAGTAAATTATTACTTTAAAAATGATAAAAGATAATTAAAAAATTCTGAAAAAAAAAATTTCTTTAAAATAAATTATAAAAAAGCGACGGAATATATATTATATTTTCATATAAAAAATAAAAACTGTATTTTTTTATATTAATAATAATAAATATATCAATTTCTTCTTTTAATAAATTAAACGAAAAAAGTATTACAAATCATCTTTTATTAATAAATTCCAAAAGAGTTTTACAGTTCATATTTAAATAAATTTAACTCAATTATAATAAATTAAAAATAAACTTTTCGAAAAATATTTTTAAAGCAAAAATTTATTATTATTATAAAAAAATTAAATACACATGAAATAAACCTCAAAAAAAATAGAAAAAACTTTTAAATTTTCCTATAATAATTAAAATTTATATTAAAATCTACGAATCGATACTTCACAAAGAGATTATAACGGCGTCTCCAAAGATGCCACTCTTGAACGGCTTCCCCAATGTAATTATCGTTGTGGTCGTACACAATAATCCGAGAATTAAGCAAATATAGCGGACTAGCGATCAATGAAATGCAGAAAAAATCAAAAATCATTTAAAAAAATTAAAACGGAGGAAAAAATAGAGAACCGATGGATCTATTATAAAAATTTAAAAAAATTTAAAAAATAAAATTATAATTAAAAGCATTCTAAACTTTTAAAATGACGTTTCCAGTGGAATCCAACACAGAAACTTTGATTGATCGCCTTCTTCGGAGTACATTCCTCAAAAAAATAGACGAAATTTTGTTTTCTTCAGCCATAAATCCAACAGCCTTATATATAAAATAATAAATGCTGAAAAAAAAGAAATTAAAAAAGAAATACTTGACCCGAGATAGAATTAATAGAATAACGGTTAGCTTGTTCAAATCCTTATAAATAAAAAAATTACACAAGAATAAGAAAATTTCAGGAATAATAGCAAAGCACTATAAAAACCAATAAAAACATTAAGAAATTCCACTTCTCTTCGTATAGCTAAAGCATCTTGACTCAATAAAGAAGCAGAAAGGGATGAGGAATTGAGAGTAGTTGGAAGATGTTCGGTGGGAGAGGAAACTATGGAATTAAGTTTCCCTAAAATATAAATAAATAAAAATTATTTGAAAGATTATTAAATTTTAAAACCGGAAGAAAGTCGAGTCCCTAAAGAAAAGCCTTTCCTTCTGTGAAGATCTCGCGAAAATCTTAAAAGACCTGAAAACTAATAAACTTTTTGTAAAACAAAACTATAAAAGCAATATAGGTATACACCTGTTTTTGTGTTATTATGAAGCTAATGAGTTTAAGCGTCATTGCAATTTTCAGTGTGAAAATTCCTATTGTTATATAAAAATTATAAAAAGTAAAAATAAATTATTAAAAAAATATTTTAAAAATATTAGAAAAAATAATAACTCATAGAAATTAAAAACTAAGGCTATATTTTTATTATAATTTGCTATATATTAAAAATTGAAGTCTTTGCTGGTGAATTAAAACTTAATACTAATATTTATTTTTAATAAAAATATATAGAACTTAATATATGTAAAATTAAAAAATAAAACAGAAAATCAAACCCCTATAATTAACATTAAAAAATAAAAAAACTTTAATATGATAAAAATATAAGAGTAAAAATTACCTTAAAAATAAAAATAATAAAAATAACGATTAAAATTAAAAGTTCATATAAAAATTAACTAAAAAGAATCAATTCTTACTCACTTTAAAACTAAAAAACTAATAACCAAAGCTTCGTAACCACTATGTTTATTGTAATAACGGTTTCCCTTTCAGTTATACATATATAAAAGTTATAGGAAAAACAGAAAGAAAAAAAATACCAGCGAGAATTGCTTGTCGGTGCACCACGTGGCGATACACTACTAATTTCGCCAATAGTGAGTGCATTTTACCTTTCACTACTGAACTCTGCTCGTTTGGAGTATTGTTGTGCTTTTCCCTAGTTTTAGACAGTGATGGAAGATTTCTATTTAAGATTTTACGTCGGTCATAAAGGAAAGTTTGGTCATGAATTTTTGGAATTTGAGTTTAGGCCGGACGGTTTGTTTATATATTTAGTTTTATTAAATGTATGTTGTTTATATACATGTTATTATATAATAATTATATTTTTTTAATTCTTTATTACTATTTTATTTAATGCATAATTTATTATGGGTATTATAAATAATTATATATGCCACTGTTTTGTTTATTATTTTTAGTTAAGGGATTAATTAATTAACCGATTAGTTTTTTTTTATATATTCTAATTACTTGAAGCCTAAATATTTAAGTTTATTATAAAAATGGTAATGTTATTATAAGTAGTTATATTTACTTACTTTTTTATTTTTGTTTGGAATTTTTATTTAGCTTTTATTTCACTGCTAAGGATGTTAAGTGTGTTTTTATTTATTTAACAAATTTTATCATTTAAATTAATTTTTATGGTCTTTATCCCTACTTGTTTTTAACTTTTTTTTACAATTAAGATTATTATAATTGTTAATTTTTTTAATTATAACTTATTATTTATTGAGAGTAGATAAATTTTATTATATATTAAAATTTTTTTATTATAGATTTTAACTGATTTTAATATAATTCTAGTTTTATTTTCTTTAATATATTTACTTATCCTTGTCTATAAATATTTTCGCTTATTATGTAATTTATATATGATTATCTCTCTTACGTCTAAAATTTTTTTAATAGTTATTACATTTATTATCTTTTATTCTTTTTTGTATAATCTAATTATATAATAAGATGAAAAAATATAAATAATATAATAGTAAGGTTTATAATACAAAATAGTTTTTTTTTAATTTTTTTTATATTTTATATATTACTTATTTTATATTTTTACAAAAAGAATCTTCTATAATTTTTAGATATATATATATACCGATGCTGACGTCATATATTTTTTTTAGTTATTATTATGTTTTATAATTATTCTTATTATTCTTTATTATATTTTTATATTTCTTATAAGGTAACTTTATTATTATTATTATATATTTTTTAATTTTTTCTTATTACCAGTTAATTTTTTTTTACCTAAAATATTTTATTCTTAACTATTATTATTATTTAGGAAAACTTCGCTACGCTAATAATTCCAACTACAAAAACGATACGATGATTCGCAAAGAAGTGTACGTGAGCACAGCGGTCCTCGGCGAGTTGCGGAGGATTATAGTCGAGAGCGACATTATGCAGGAGGACGATAAGCAGTGGCCCCTCCCCAACGCAGTGGGCCGCCAAGAACTCGTTAGCTTTTATTATTATTATTATTATTATTATTATTATTATTATTATTATTATTATTATTATTATTATTATTATTAAAGTAAAGTATATATATCAATGCAGATATAAAAATTATATTTAAAAGTAAAAATATAAATAGAAAACAGTTTACTTCTAAGAAAGTTTATTAGAAAGTAAATGAAGTAGTATTATTTTAGAGGGGGTATATTGTTGATACCAGTATTAATTAATTATTATTATTACTGTTGAAAATTACAAAATTATCATTAGAAAATTAATAATAAAAGATAGTATTTAGTAAAGAATAGATAATTTAATAATATTAACTACTGCAATCCCTATCAGTTTATTATAAAAACTTTTAATAAAAGTACCATTTAAACTTAAAAATAAATTTTTTTTAGATTGTTTTATTCTTTTTAAATTTTTATTTGTTTTGATCAGTAATAGAAAACTTGCTTATTGAAAGTTTATTAAATATTATAATTTTACGTTTTATATATTAAGAATAACACACGTATAATGTATATTTTGCTTAATTTTTTTATTTAAAAGGAAAAGTAAAAAATATTTCTGACTTTTGAACTTTTTATTCGCATTTATTATCAGCAATTATTTGTAAGATGATTGGTTAATATTTATTGCAAGAGCTCTAATGAATTAATTTTATAAAATAAAAAAAAAATTTTAATATTTGTACTAAAATGGCCGACTATTATTTATAATAAATTATGTGAAGCCTTATCATAATTTTTTATAGTGCACCTTTTTCATATTTTTTGATATAAATAATTTTACTTTATATTTAACACTTAGTAAATACTAACTTTTAACATTAATATTTGGCAGAAATAATTTATTTTGGAACGATTTAGGCTAAACAGGATAGTTTTTTGGCTTCTGAAATCATTATATTTATTAATATTATTATTTTAGTGCACCTCACTCATATTTTCGGTTTTAGTAATTTTTGCTTTTTATTAACACTTCTTTTATTTGGTAAAAGTTATATTTAATATTGAATTTTACTAACTTCTGAATTTTTTTTTGGCTATAATTTTTTGGTAATAATTATTAAACTTGCGCGTTACGATTGTTAACTACCTAATTAATTGCAGCTTTCATAGTTTGGCCTGTTTTATTGTAAATTTATGTTATAACGGTATTTTTAATTTTATTTATAAAAATTTAAAGTTTTCTTTGGCTTCATTATTTTTTATTTGAAATTTATCTTTTTTGGTTTTTTTTTGTTTACGCCATTTTAATTTTTTTTGGTTTGCATGAAAGTATTTATTATCATATTTGTGTATTATTTTATTTTTATTCTGAGATTTGAAAATAACTTGATTTAAATTAGATTTATGCTTTTTATGATTTGCTTACTTATATAATAAATTTTTCGGTTTACTATTTTATTGAAAAAACTTAATTTTGTTTTGTTCCTTTAATGCTTTGGCCATTTTGTAATGAGAAGAAAAATAAAAAGGAAAATTAGTAATAAGTAAAAAACAATTAATCTGCGTAAAGGACTTGCCTGTCCTAATGCGCGTGACTGTCACTTGTTTGATACCGGGGGAGACTTAGTAAAGCTTGCCTGCTGTACAACTTAAAAGTTTTTATTATATTACAATTTTTTTTTAAAATTTAATATTAATTGGTCGTCTTAACATTTCCGTTTAGTATTAATTTTATAGTTATTAAATTATTATTATATTTCTAACAAATAAATTAACAATAATAGTATAATATAATTTTTTGTCTTACGGTATTTATTATGTACTTATCTTGCTTACAATATATTTACATTATTGTAACGCGTGTTTATTTGAAGACATTTTATATAAAGATTAGCATTCAATTTTTTTTTTTATAATTTTTTTTTACTTTCGATGTTTTTACTATTATAGGAAGTTGTCTTAGAAAATGAGCACATCTCGTTTTCCACTGCGAAGATTGGCTCGGCAGCGGATTGCGAGGAAAGCCAGGACCCCGAAGGCCTGCGCGCTTTTTATTATCTTGTTCAAGATCTGAAGTGTTTCGTCATCTCTTTGATTTCGCTTCATTTTAAAATTAAGCCCATTTAGTTACCAGAATATAAATTTATATATTTTTTCTAAATGGAAGTTTATGTTTTGTTAATAAAGTCTGAGATTTTCATTTTTTTTATTTTTCACATTTTTTCAAACATATTAATTAATTAAAAGGGCTTTTTGTTAAGTTTTTATTAACATTTTTTTTATTTCTTTGGAACATTAAACAATAGAAAAAATTACTTATTGCGTCCACTGTTAATATATTCATTGTATTGTAAGTTGCTAGCATACGACTAGCCTTTAACGGGGGCCTAACTGCATCCGGAAGCCATAGGAATTGAATGAGATTGGAATAGTACTATGACCACTTGGTCGTTAGCTTTGGTGTTAGGCTCTTCACTAAATGACTCTAATATTCTATGTAAAGTCAATGTTCTCTGAGCACGCCGCGCCTAAGTTGGAGCTTAAATTACAGTGTGGATTTTGCTAGTATTTAGTAAAGTTCTGAGTAATACTACTGTTCTAAATATTATAAGTAAGCCGTGGCTCCCAATTCTTATACTAACGAGATAACTTTCAATGTTGCAAACAATAAATTCTATCGTCATATATAACTGGATTTGTGGCGGAAGATTCCCTCATCAGTCCATTAAAACTGACTTTAAGTTTCTAGATCGTTAAAAAGGGAAACAGACTTCACAATTAAAAACTTCGCCTTAGTGAATACTACTACCCGATGCGTGTGTTCAAGTGCATAATCAGACAGTTCATTTCATTAGCGTGAAATAAACACTTTCTTCTATTTTTTTATTTAATAACTAATAAAAATATTCTTCTGTATTCCTCATATAAATTTTTTATTACTTAATAATGAGAGCCTCTCCCGTTAACTTTTTTTTTTTAAATAATGGGTGTGACCAATAATATGAGAATAATATAGGTTTTTAACCAGAGGTCTTCTGTTGAGAAGAAGCACTCCTTGTATTATGAAATAAATTTTTGTAATATTTAATTTTTAAAAAAAAAAATTTTTATACTATTCTGTAAGTAATGCATACTTAAATATGGGTTTTGTAGCACTTTGAAACCCCAGTTTGCGAAAGGAATGCAAACTCTTAAGAATGCTCGTATTGCCCTATCCTCACAAGAGTCTTATAGCCGTATACCCTACAAAATTTACATTTAGCAAAGATGAGCAGGTATCAATTATTGATGCATTGCAACCAAATAGTAGCACTTCACATTTGAAAGTAAATAAGATGCTGTAAGTAAGCGCAGGATGGCCTTTTTAGGTTGGTCCTCAGGGTAAGCAATCGTGTAAACTGCTGTCCAACCTCCAACAAATTTTCTGATTAATATCTTATATTAATTATTAATTATTAATTGATATTACGTAAGAGGGTAGGCATAACAAACTACAAAAATAAAAAAAAATTTCATAAGTTATTAAAAAATTAATGCAAGCCTAATCTTTCTTTTTAGCTGATATCTAGACTAGTATGTTTTCAATAAGAAACTATATTAATACATTGCAAGAGAAGCTCTAGCACTAATAGAGGATCGTATGAAAGTTGTTTATTAAGGACCTGCTAACCCTCCGTGAAGAAATTAAGGGAAACATATAATAATACAACGTGAGTAATTATCTCAAAAATTTTCCATCGAATACAGCATTGGGTACTCAACAAAAGGTAGAATTATATAAAAAAAGATTAGAACCCTAGAGAAAGTATTATTGTCAACATTCAGCGAGATATCACGCCTAAAAAGTTCAAATTCACCTATCACGACTCACGCTAAAATAAAGCTAAAGTGACGGAGGATAGTTGGCGCTCCCTCTGTTGTTCGTGAGATCAAAATTACGTATATTCTTTCGATGTAAACTTATGGAATAGGGACCGCGTGATATAGTAAGTATGAGGGCGTTACTGAAAATTTATCTTCGGCGCTGGAAAATTTGAGAATATTAAGGACTAAGACTATAAAAATTTTAATAACAGATATACTAATCTCATCTGCAAGCCTTCATTATTTGTAGCAAGTCATCCGCTTTTAAACAGAACGTTTTACCTATTGGAAACTATTAAGAAAGACGTTGACCTTTAAGTTATTAAATTAGCGACAGCTTGGGAAGTCACCAGTAAACAAAATTTTAAATTCAAGTACGTCGCGCTACGCAGCGTAGGCGTCAAGGTCCAGAACGAAAAAGGGGTTATAAGAGGTACAACTGCTTAAAGATTTGATCTCAAAGCAAAGAAATGCACAAATAAACCAGAGGAGGTAGACTCGATAGTTAAAAATTTTGCAAAAAAAAAAAAAAGAACTTTTCCCGGGTTAGTCTCGATTAGGGGGCCACCTTTCATATATTAACATTTTATCCACCAAAACTGACTAAAAATAACCAGTCAATTGACAAAAACAGTAATAGATCTGTTGAAAGCGAAATATGCTGCTGAATTTAATGAAAGAAATCCTTAATTGTGCCTGTAACTGTAAGCCAATGTTCGACGTGGGCCAAGTTTTGGTACAAAATGAAAAAGTTATTTATGAAGATAACCAAAATGATACGGCTCCAGTGATGTGAGGATTTTGACACGCTGGTATTTTTGGCCAGGCAGCAATAGAGGCCGGGCGCTTGATCCACTACTAGAATTTGAGGGCAAGGTTTAAATATGCAACTATCAAAGGCCGAGGGAAATAGTTCCGTTGTCATCGTACCGGTATTGTAGCCGTAGCTCACACTCAAGGGCTGTGGGGGTTCGATTCTCGCCAGTGCGACTTTCATTTTAGGTCTTTGGTTGCGTATCCAACCTGATGTTCTCACCGTTTGTGTTTATCCAGGACGAAGTATATACTCTAACGATATCTTTAGCTGTGTTTTTGTAAATAAAACTTTTATATACATGGGCTTGTAAACTTACTGTGAAATAGTTATGGTAAGATAAACTAAAGTTATGTAATGCTGGTACACATTGTATTTATGTGCTCCTTAGTACGCTTAGTCTTCAACCGTAAGCGCGGAGCATTCTAATAAAAGCTTACGTCTATACAGCCTGAAGGATTAGTAGACGTAAGACATACGCAGAAGACCAACTCATGAGGAAATCGGCTTTATAAGGCCCTCCAAAAGATTTGTAATAAATATGAACCTCTAGAGCGCTGAGGAATGTTAGAAATATAAAAACTTCTTGGCAAACAGATTTGCTAAGAGGTTTTACGTCAGAGAGGTATTTTCTCTGTTAATGGGCCAAACATTTTAAAACTTTTATTAGAAGGGCCTTTCCGGACATTTTTTTGTAAATATTCTTTTAATAATTTTTGGTATAATAGTTATTATTAAAATAAAGGGGTCCGCACTTTAAGTTTTGGAATAAATTCAATTTTGACCAGAACAAAATTCTTTTATAAACTTAACGCAATCTATAAATAGTTCGCAAACTACCTCACACTAGAAATACTGGTACCACTGTTGAGAACAACTTGGTTTGAGGATAAAATAATAAAAATAAACAAAAAAAGGAATCAAAACCATTTAATTAAAAGCTGATAACTCTAATTTTTTTAAAAAAGGATGATCGCTATACACAAATTGGCTTATAAAGTCAGTCGCCGAAAGTTACAACAAATAACGAGGTAAAGTTGTGGACCGATTTTCTACTTTACCTTTTTTTCCTTGAAAAAGTTCTAACTAGTTTTTTAGGAAAAGAATTTTTTCTCTTCCGTGATTCTTCCGCCTCCAATTCTTCTAAAAAGCTTTCTGTAGTCTGTTCACAGTTTGGTATATGTAATAAATTATTCGAGTGTAGTTCAAAATCACTCAATAGAAGGGGATCAGGAACAACTTCCTCTGGACTTAAAGATACCTCATCTTCACTACGAGAACTTAAAAAATTAGTTATGGATTTAGACCTTACGATAGATAATTTAGACTCTCTTTTAACTTTTCTGGTATTTAAACTTTCCATGGCAATATTGCTATAGTTTCCAACAAATTCATAATAAATGTCTTTAGAGTCAACGAAAGTCGGAAACTCATATTCACTACTTATAGTAGATACTTTCATCACGCTTTTAGATAGTAACAACTGGCCTAACTTTGAAACATTTTCACGTTTAATAGTTTTGGACTCATCTAGCTTAGATAAAAATTCTACAATCCAATCCGTTATGACTTTTCCGGAGGCACAATAAACCTTTTTTTTAATACTGTAACCCTTTTCTGTTGCGGATAAAACACTCTTCACTTGTTTGACATTTAATGGTAAATTTTTAGCCATTTCTGTAGTCATATTATTCCATAATTCAACAAATTTAAAGGTTTCAGACAAGTTACCGGAAAGTTTATTATAATGGGACATCAACAGTAATTTTGAATTTATAAACTATAATAAAAAAAAGAACAGTAAATTTATTATATGCATAAGATTAATAAATTTTTATATTATATAACAAAATATTAGTACGTTTGAATAACGTGTAAAAGAATATAAAATCTAAAGAAAAAATACTAATTATTATTAGATTTTATTAAAAACCTGAGTGGCAATTTTCCTCTAGTTTCTTTAATGATTGACGTTAGATGTTGCATGCCTATCAATTACTTTTTTTACTTAGATAATATGCACCTAGGTCCGCTACTGATTGTGCTTTTTTAAACCCAACCATCAGTCCTCCAGTCGACTAGAAGATACAAATTTTTAAATTTACCAATTGGCGTGCGTGAGTCAAGCGCCCTAGTAGTGCGTTGTAAATAAAATTACATATATATATACAAAATAACTAATAAACGTTTGAAGTATACATATAAATTTTATATATTTATATACTGAAATAACTTTATAAATATTTATGATAAAACAGTCGCTAGAAGTATTATCAAAACTCTGCAAAAGGTTAGACTATTGATTCAGTTATGTTGTTATTTACAAATATAGTAAGCCTCCATTTTGTTTTTTAATATGCAAAAACTTTATCTCGCGCACTGTAAACTGTTTATTTTCTAAGTCATACTAATTATCATAATTTTATATATCTCTTTTGGCGAGTTAAGTTT